TCCCATTATAAACCTTTAGAGAATCATTACCAGGTTCCAAGACTCATTTTATCTCATTGCTGACACGTCGTTATTGCAGTGATGGGTAATGTTATTTTTAAGATGAACAGTGTTATATGTATATGTTTTAGTACGTCTTCAGTTACATGAGATTACATATACTTCATTGTATATTGAAGGTCAGATTATAAATTGCCATGTCTTATCCGATCTCTGATTGTATCTTAGCCAAAAGGCGTAGTAATACTTACTTTTAATTATCCATCTAATGATATCTGAGAAGTAATGCGACCTTGCGTTCATGGCGATTGTTAATTAAGAAGGAATTAATTGGGTCATTGTTCAGTTCTCTTTCGCTGCCTAACATTACAGAAATGTTGATGCTATCTTAAAGAGAATTTTAAAGTTTTACATAGAAGAGAAAATAAGTTTTTCAGTAAATGTGCAACCGGCCATCTTGCAGTAGTCACTGTCTTACGTTAATATGATTTTTTAAAAATTATTTGGGTGTTTATAACTCACTCATTCGGTTGTACCACACCTTTAATTTATATCCTGTTTACTGATAGATGAAAACAATATTGAATAATGAACAACTATTTAAAGTCTACTAGTACGTATCTGTCCCACGTGCTTCAAAATCTATAATCTGTGCGTTTTATGTTTCGTGTAATTCTAATTGTCAACAGCGATTATTTCATTAAACAGCGCTAACAAAATGACCTTTTTAATGTTGCAGTATTATGTTTTCGTTGCGGGACGGAGTGAATTATTAAATAATAATAAATTATGAGACAAGTCAGCATAACCAAATAACTATTTTGTGTAATCAAAAAGTCAAAACAGATGTAACTATTCCAAATAACAAACCAGATATTATAATCCGAAACAAAAATGGAATTTTCCCCTTAATGGATGTAGCAATTCCAACCGACAGAAATGTAATTAAGAAGGAAGGGGGGAAGATCTTGAAATACAAGGACCTTCTCATTGAAATACAGCGAATGTGGAAAGTGAAAGTAATTCAAATAATTATAGGAGCAACTGGAACTGTCTCCAAGTAACTCAGAAAATATTTGGCCAACATCCCGGGCGAACACGACATCAGAGACATTCAAATAGTTAAGAAAGGTACACAATGCAATCATTACATCAGAATTTAGTCGCTTAAGTTTTCATTTAATCTTTTCCATCATGATACCCTAAACGTTTTTCGGGGAGTTTTTTCCTCTCGAACAGAAGAAGAAGAAGAAGAAGGAGAAGTGGGTTCCAAACACAAGAATCAATGGCGCCGTCTGGTAACATGTGGTGATCTTTATTGGAGTCACTTGCAGTCTTCCCAACCCAGCCTCATCAATTCCAGAAACAAGTGAAATCCGCTCTACAGAGTGTGTCACAGCAGTTGCATACGTCACAGGCGGAACGCGAAACTGTACCTGCACGCAAGTTAATTAAAATTTTGCAGAAGCTACATTTTATTGATCGAAGATTTCTTTGAATGTGACAACTTCATTAATGAATTACAGAATTTTACGAAAATCTAGTAGTTATTTGTTAATATGAAGCCCGGAAAGTGTTCGGAAGACATGAAAATAAGTTCGTTTCTTCAGAACTGTAAAAATGTAGAGAAACTAGCATAGTAAATGAAAATATTTTAATGAAATGAAAATCTTCAGTTTTAAATTGACCTTCTAGATTCACATGAGCAGCTACAGAATAAGGAACACTGACATTATTCGTCAAGGATGCCATTTGCACTGTTTCAGTTTGAAATAGATTACACGAGTGATCATCAATTTCTTTTCAATTGGCTGCCTTGTTTCGTTTCTTGTCTCTACCATGATTCCAGAGACTGACAAAGGAAGATAAATGACTCTATGTAAAGCAGAGTAATAGCTAAAATGCAAACATAATGACCAATCAGATTTATAGGAAGACGAAATATTTCTCTAGACATTTTTTCACCCCTTGAACCTAGTGCTTGCAGGAAGAAAGAAAGAAAGAAAAAAGAAAGAAAGAAAGAGAATAACTTTGCTATCTTTTCTCTTCTAAGAAGAAATTCACAGATTCCAATAAAACCACCCCTGGCATTGTGCTATGTTTTAGAATCCACGGAATTACGAAGAGGGTGGTGGGTGGACGGGTACTGGGGTTCGAGTGAAGATGGAAAGGAGAAGGATGCTTGATACATGGAAATCAGAGGGCATATATTCTCTTAGAGCGGAGGAAATGTTTCACTACCACACCCAGTTGCACACAAACCATGACACTCCACCGATAAACTTTACTTTCCGCAGTGCTTATATAGCGGTGTTTTACAATTTTCCTACAGTGTTAATGAATTATGAAATGTGAGCTTGGAAAGCAACTGTTATCATTTTTCAGAAATGTACAAACCTTCACGAACAGATGAACCCTACATGCAGCCTGTCATTATCTGGCGGCGAGTGCTTCTAAGTCACGAACAGGGGTTTTAACTACTGCATTGCAACATTTCGTGCGTAATGCTTAAGTCAAATGAAAAACGGAAAGCGAATTTATAGCTAATAAACAAATCGAATACAATTTAAATTTTGATAGTTGATTTTTTGTTACTGCGGGCGAAGTTGTTCTGGGACAAGTATTCTCATAATCTCTTTAAATTATTGGATTGTATCTAGTGACGATTTTCTGCCAGTCTGAGTTACTGATCCAGAACGTTTCGACTGATATTTGAAAGTTTATTTTGACTTAAAAGTCAGAATGACAGATCAGGAATAAATTAAACCTTATGAAATTTTATACGTCGATGGACTACAAAGTTTTTTTTGCAAATTATCTATGAAGTATTGTTTGAAAGCTTTCAGTTTTAAATGTAGCGATGGTGCAAATCATTGTGATTATATTCCTACAAATGTAACTACTTTCTGTCGCAGCCGAGTGGTTAACACTCTTGATTTGTATTCGGAAAATCCCGGGTTATATTCTCGAAGACCTATCTTGAATGAGGTTTTTGGTGGTTTTCCTTAGCCCCTCCAGTTGTTGACACTACATAGTCTTACTTTCTGACAGCATCGTGAAATAAATTACAAATAAAAATACATTGGCATGAGATACGAGGTGCGATCGGAAGGTTTCCAGACTGCGCGTATAAAAACCCGTACACTTATCTCAGGTATTAAATTCATCCATCCCCCGCGAAGTAGTTCCCCTGGGAGTGAACACGATCCCAGCGCCGCTGCCAAGCCTGAAAGCATCCCTGGAAATCTTTCTTTGTCAGCCTGTCAAGCACCATCTGCGATTCTGCCTTTAATACCTGAGATAAGTGTACGGGTTTTTATAGGCGCAGTCTGGAAAATTTCCGATCGCACCTCGTATGTAGGGTGGAGGACTAAATGTCTTGGGCAGTGCAATGTCACGTGGTCTGGAAACGAAGATAGAATATGAAGTTTATGCAGTTAGAAGGTAGGCCGTATGAGTTGTTAAGTGTACATTTGGTTGAACTTGTGATTCACTAAATGCTATTCTTATTAGTATCTTTATTTAGTGACATGCAGCTATTGGATAGTAAGATAAACACAGACAGTGATGCTCTTCTGTTTTGATGAGCATGTGTTTGCATCATTATTTAACTGTTAATTAACACAAACCAATTTCCTAGGAACTGACCAAGCTTTGTAAATAAAATGATTGTTACGTCCTGTTTGACATGTGTAGCAGCTCAACTGTGGCTTGTAAACTGAACTATCAAATAACATACATCATCACATTACGAATGGATCTAACCATACGTTCAGGATCAAATTACAAGGGCTACTCTTTAATGCGTCTCATTGCCTACTCGAGGTTCAAATCGGCGTTTGAAACCTGGCTTTTGTGCGAACCGATAGTATTTGATATTTGGTTGTTTTGATGGGTTACTGGTTTCTGTTGAGTGCTCCATGCCAGATGTGTTGAATTGTACAATCACTTAACACACTTAACAAACAAGTGAACAGTGGCATGCCTGTAGTTTCGTAATTTGGCGAACTCGCTGAGGGAAAACAGAAATATTGTTCTGTGTTTCGCTGTGCAATGTTATTTTGTTATGTGCAGACGAAGAGGTTTTGTGACTGTAGTGAAATTATGGGCCCATTGAATTGCCACATCTACAAATGAGATAAACCAGTTTAATTCACAAATGTCATAGTTCAGGAGTAGGAAATATCTGGCGAAATAAAATTTTAATCTGGCATCGAAAATACAGATAATGGTTCCATTCTTTCTGAGGGGAAAACGTCATCTACGAGAATATACGCGTACATAGAGCGAGTGAAATTAAGGTAGAAGAAATTGTCTCTGAAGATTGCAAAATGAGTTTTATTGGTTAAGGATAAAATTCGATGGCAAATTTTACAGGTTTACATGCCTTTAAGTCGCAAAGAGAGATATTTCTTGACTAGACGTTTACTCTATAGCCCTGATGATCAAGGTAGTAAGCTCCTATGAAAAGTTGGTAAATATCTACCAGACTATACGGCGCTGGTACAACCCAGACGACAGCCATCATCAGAGCGAACCTACTTTGTGGGTAATTACTTTCGTCATATACGAGGAAATCAGACGTATTTAAAACAGAGTAAAATGTTTTACAGTGCCAGATGTCTACGAAGTTTGCAGGGAGAGATGTATGGGCTTTGGCAGGGGCTAGAAAGGAGAAGAAAAGTGGACGTTATAGGAAAGAAAGGAATAGAATTGTAAATTGGGAAGACCGAAAGACAGTTTTCCTCTACAGTGGTATATTGAATTGGGGGAGGGGGGGGTTGAAGTGACGAGTCGGGGTGTCTGCGTCCCTCTCTCAGATGCGAGCTGAAACCGGACATGACATAAGCAAGATTTTACTTTGTAGGATATAGGTTGACTCTAAAACTGAGACACTTCTCAGGTTCATTTCCTCTTGTGTGTAAATGTAACTCAGTAAACAATAAGCGTAGTCCCATAACTCCACCGCATCCAGTACGTAATGATAGCTCTTTTTCCAGGGTTAAAGCGGCCGGAATGTCATACTAAACACTTGCATGCGTGTAACTCCGGGGTCACAAAGGCGTAGAGACGTTCATCCACTCCTTAATGTTCCTTCATTATTTGGCGAACATCAGGTAGGTCTTATTGTGGTAGTGAACTTAGGGTTAGTTTTAAGTTAGTTAACATTTAGTGACTAGAGGAAAATGTCCGGTGTATTAACGGGTAGTGATTTCTTTTGTGTGTATAATTTTGCCCCATTCCATTTTCTCATTATTACCTTCGTAAATTTGTCACTTTTTCCCTTGTCTTTCCCTTTATTTCAACGTTTTCGCCATCCATAATAGGAAAACTTCTAAAAGCTGCCGAATGGTAGCAGCACTTCAACATTTTGTCTTCTAGCGTCATTTTCGACATTGTTTTGAATCTATGAGCGTAAGAAAATACGAAAACATGGAACAGGCTCTTAAATAGTACTGACTATAGACTGGCGTGAAGGAAGACATTGTGATTCTGAGTACTGAGACAAAAATAAGAACCTGCATGTGAGGATTAGTGGACTGGGTTCGTGAGCTGGTTTACAGCCGTCGTATGTTTCCATTTGTGTCTGGCGCTGTGGGTTGAGCGAACCGTTTCCTTGTCTAGAAGCCAGACGACAATGGGGGCAGTTTCCATAAGTATCAGAACGCTGTGACCCTTTGGCCCCGAGGCATATTCTTCTGCTTTATTTCACTTCCGTCGTCGTTGTTGATTCAGCAGTGCCTGTCACGCGGACTCTCGTACGTATGTTGTTACATTTCTGGGACCTCACTTTGCAACATCTGTAAATTTACGTAATATAAGAGAATCGTGCTTCTGTAGTTGAATTTAGAATTTGTTATACGCCAAGGAAGGTTTGGCCAAGGAATGCTGGAATCTGTACAGAGATTGTTCTACTTCGGCGCACGGAGGACGAGTGGCAAAGTAAACATATTTATTTATAGGATTTGAGGTTTTCACGGCGGTAAGTACGAAGATGGCCGCCTTCTTCATAAATTTTCTTTGATTATCACGGTTATCAATCTACGAAATTGATTAAATACAGGTGACTGACTTTATGCTCGTTTTAATTATTCGAGATTTTATTTTGAAACAAGGAAGAGATTGTATGGTACTACAGCTTCCGTCTGAAACTCATCTGGAGAGCCTGTCAGACTAGAAAAAAAGCTCCGATGGGATCACCCATACTTTCACCTACTTCATCTGAATCATCTCACATTGACGACCGCTGTTTCCAGTTTTACGCGTTTTCAGTATACACGGCAATTCGCAGGAGATGAACCTCCGTGTATATTGAGTCTAACCTGTACAAGGCACGAACCCCGTTCCAATGAATCAAAAAGACTCCCAAAAACACGAACCAGAAGCACGTACGTTATTTAGGCCCACTTGTATAATACGGGTTACCCTTTCTCTGATATTTAAGAATCCAGAATGGGATTTGGAAATTATGCGCGATATTTTGCAAAGTATGGACGAATATACATAAAAATGTATTATTTGAATCTGGACTGTATAACCATAACAATTTATTGCGGCGTTGTAAAACCTAATCCAGTGTTCAGAACAATGGAGAACAACATCGGATGAAAGTCTAGAGAACCTCCCCATTTTATCTAGACGAATATCAAGTCAGTTCCCAAAACGTTGTTTACACCCTCTTATTTCGGTAAACTGCGGGAATGGTAGAAATCCTTCAGAGTTTTTCTCCATGGCTTGGATACATCATCATACACTGCATTATCCTTAATGATGTACAGCTTACCTTCCATTCCGCTACCCCTAACCCCGCCCCTGTCTCCGAAAGAAAAGGTTGAACGACGTGGAAGAGTTCTGGGCGCTTTTCAGTTCTTGTCTGATGCAGAACTCCTCAGAACTGTTCAACGATGATGGCTTTGCCCCGCCTACTAAAGGCTGTTAAAAAACAACTTGAATTATGGTATGCAACAGCAGTTCTCTCGTGCCTTCAGTATGTGCGAGGGCCAACCCTACTAGAGCATGCGGAATTTAAGACGTAAAGAAACACATAAAGCTTAAAGTGTACGTTTGATCATGGTAAGGGATGAAGAAAAGTATTTCGTTGAAACTGTAAGGGTTGGAAAGTTAGAAACTTATTTTTGTGAATTAAGGACCAGTCCTGTCAGAACCACTTTCTAAATTTTGAATATATATTCTATAAACTTGTTCCCCGTGAAATGTAAGAGTTATAAACAATTCATGATTACCTCCGCATAACTTCTTTTATTTATTGTTAATATAACCATTTATATACGTTTTTATAAGGCCTAATGAGGGTTGGATATGAGATGAAAATGGTTGTCTTGTGCGTTGTAGCGCCATGAAGTCTGATACAAGTTTACCGACGTTTCAGAGATGATTTTTCCCTCACCATCAGGACGACTCATCCCCATTCGTACAGTCTTTAATCAGACGTTATACCGAGTGAGTTTAGTCCGGATGACAACCACAATAAATCTGGAATTATGGATGCTTTTTTATTTTAAATTTCTACATCTGTATGTATTGTAGCTACTTTACGAGCCTGAAGTTGTGTTTAAAACATCAGATTGTGTGATGTAGATTTAATTTCAAGTCCCTTGTGCATTAAATTACTATTTGTGAGAGAAATTTGCCATGCCATAATTCAACATTAGCACAACATTAAATACAGCTTTTATGCTCTATGAATGTTTCACGTAGTGTCAAGTACATCATCACACGTTCATGCCTTTAGATTAAATTATTCTTTGTACCCCACAAGCTGTGCTAGTCTTTGCGAAACAGATGTAAATGTTGCCCTCAGAATTATTTTGCCAGATTAGCTTCTTCTCAGATTAGTGCGTTCAACATAACCTGCCCACCATAAATGCTTACTGAAGTTAGGAGCAGACTTTGGCGATGCAATGTCAGAGTATGGACAGTGATATTTCATGTGACGCAGACTTAAGCAGAATGATTAATAATCACAGTATCCGGAAATATTGAAACCAACAAGCATTGTTTCCCATTGCTTCGTAATCGAGAGGTCACAGTTTTCCCCAGTCCCAGAAGAGTAAAGTCAGGTCACGATTATTTTTTCCAGGTCCTTTACCATCCATTAGTCATTTGCCATCCTATAATTCGACGCTGCATGATCTGAGCTAATTGCAGCTTCGTTAAATAAACGATATTAATAAATAAACGTACCAGACTAAAGCAGTATGACTGCCATGGACGAGGGTGTCGTTTTGAAGTGTTAATTGCCTGAAGTATCTTTGATATGTACGACGTTTCGGTAGGTTCTCTGCTCCCGAAACACGTTTTTTTTATAGAATAAGTTACGCAACTAACAAAGGTTAAAGTAATGTTTCTGTAATAAATAATTTTTACATATCTTTTGCCAGTCCTTAGATGAGTTCATTTAGTACTAATATGAACTGTGCTCCATGAATGTGTCTTAAGAGTGGCGAAGAGGAAATTTTCTGCTTACGCCAAGAACCGAACATCTGTCGTCTAACCCGCCGTCAGTCACTGCACTGAGCTGTATATTTCTTATATAATTTTGATTTAGAGTCCTTATGAAATGTGTTGACAGGGATTGGCTGTGAGAAGTTCATAATAAACTCGATCATGTGGAAATTGGTTTCACTGGTGTAATTCTGCTGAGTTTTTTTGTCAGGGCAGGGTTCACTGAGCGACTTTATTATGGCGGTGCCAAGTTCTGTGTTGCCATGGATTTAGTTATCCTGTTTATTGCTGGTGAGATTCTGTGAAGTGATTTAAACGAGTCTCGTAGGGTAGCTGCATTGTGCATTTCGGGAACAAATTGTCGCTGTAGCTTACATTGTAACTGGGTACGCTGAGTAGTTTGAACTGTTAGATGTTTGTTGCTTTCTACGATGAAACGTTTGCAAACAGGACAGACGTATATTAGATAATTATCAATGTTTGTGTAGACCCGTCCTACCCTTAACCCGTAGGAGCACGAATTCCGCAAAACAAAGATTAATTTTGGCTACGAAGGTTCCCAGGCAGTGGCCGTTCTTTGTGGTAAAGTTAGGTTAAAGTTCTTTCAAGTAATATTTAAAGAGACAGTTCATAACGCCATTCCATTACAAATACCGGCTGGTTGATGATGTTTAGGAAATAATCCATGTTTATTCTGATAAACACACGAAATTTTCAGTCATTCCAGCATTAACTGAGCATATCTATGAACAATCTTGAAACATTCTTCTGTGTCTCAAGATTGCCAGCCACACGAGGTATCGAACACAAGTCTTCTTAATGTTAAACGCATTGTGTTATGATTTACAATAATCTGGGCCAATTTGTGCATTTCACGTCCATTGAAATTAAAAAGGAGACTGATTACATGGGTTAAGGGAGGTAGCGTGTACTGTACATACTACAAACATTATTTCCCCTTCTGCAGTACTTTATAGCTCGGTGTCTCAGTTCTTGTGTTGGTAATGTCTTTCGATTACGTAGCATATGCATTTGTTTTCCGTCTATGCAAACGCCAGTGATGTAGGCAAAACGCACAGTTTGTTCCCGGGTACTGCAATTCACTTGCTAAGAGATGTTAAATTTACCGCTGTACAGTTCTGTCTAAAGTAGTACAAAATTCGTAATTTGTTTAGAGAAAGTAATAAAATGTTGTAAGACTTGAGGTTCTCACAGCGGTGAGTATGAAGATTTCCGTCTTCTGGGTTGTTGTGCTGTGTAGTCTGGTCGATGTTTACCAACGTTTCAGAGGTCATACTGCCTCCGTCATCAGGGCGATGAGTATGAAGATTTCCGTCTTCTGGGTTGTTGGCGCTGTGTAGTCTGGTCGATGTTAACCAACGTTTCAGAGGTCATGCTGCCTCCGTCATCGCCCTGATGACGGAGGCAATATGACCTCTGAAACGTTGGTTAACATCGACCAGACTACACAGCGCAACAACCCAGAAGACGGAAATCTTAATAAAATGTTATTCAACGTTGAAAGAAACAAATTTATTTAAAACACACCTGTTTACTGAATGTGACCACGTATTTTATTTGAGAATTTTATTGGCCCTAAGACT